GGGGGGTTCGTGTGCTGCAGGACCTTCTATCCTGCATTAGACTCATACCACCATATGCTGCATCTCCGCTGCATATTCTTATGAAGTATTGAGCAACACTAGTTGAATCTGTCGTGTTCCTGCTCTACTTGTCCCTGCTTGAACAAGGTGTTTGCTGGAACCTAGTTGACTTGACTTTAGTATCATATATTGTAGCTTACATATAACGGAGAATGTAGTCAAAGTGCAGTGACTCGCAATCCCAGTTTCGCGGAGTGGGCGAACAACGTGTTCTTCGTTCTAAACCTGCGCTTAACGTCACAGGTACTCAGCCCAAGCATGTGAAGCTGAGATAATTAACATTCTGGAGCTCGTGAGCTGGATATGATGGTCGGATCAAGGCCTTCGTCGCCAACGCCTGTACCAGCAACGACGATAAATTCTACGGCTAGTGTGAGTGCATCAACGGCGCCTGGAGCTTCTACTAGTAACTCCACGGCTATCTATACGATGGGTGCGAGTACCCCCAACTTCCGTTACGTCTACTAGTGGAGTAACTTCAACTGTGGCAAGTGGAATACCTGGTGGGTTTGACTTTGGACGTTTGGCAAGTAATGGGATAACAGCGTCGCTCTGTTCATCTATGGCACAAGGTCACTGTATAGCAGTCTTTTCAACAGATCAAGGAAAAGAGTTGGTCAACAAAACACTAAAAGCATTCCTCAGGGAGAGAGGGATTGAGTTCTTATGAACGAATGCGACGAGAACGGGCTGGTTGAAAAGATGAACGGCGTTCTTTTGGCTCGCGTCCGCAGTCTATTGACGACAGCACACATGCCGCACAACTTGTGGGGTGAACCGCTCGCGTTTGCAGTGGAGTTGTTGAACGTGAGTCCTCCTAGTGAACTTGATGGCGATACCCCTTACACACGCAGATTTGGTGAACAACCGGATGTTGGGAAATTACGTATTTGCGGCTGTGTCGTGCACGTGTTTACTCCAAAGGTGCTATAGGCTAACAAGTTTTAAACCCAAACAAGTTGGGTCTTTTTCTCGGGCTTGCAAAGAGCTCGGACGGATATCGTATTTTGAATTTATGTACTGACGATTATTAAGAGCATCGTTCAGTGGTCTTTGATGAAGATTGGACAGTCGATAGCCTTACATCGAGCATCTTTTGGCAAATCAGTATCGATGCCGCCGCTTCGTCTTGCCGAATGTGATTCCGCTGTTACGTTTACCGGTCAAGACATCAGTTACTCATGGCGAGTTAACTGATCCTCACGTTAAACGTCGTCGTCATGCAAATGCACGAGATAGTTCAGAGTCTACTGGTGTGGTGGAGCAATCTACAATGGGTGTGGAAGTGCCTGCACAGGAGTTGCCGATTCGTCACCGGTGGGAGCGGTTTTTGCTGCTGCCCAGTTATCACCTTGGGGTGCACCTCAGCAAGAGGTGAAATGGTTGGATCATATTGATCTACATGAAGAGAATGGTGATCACGAGAAAGCTGAGAGTATGTGATCACGAGAAAGCTGAGAGTATGCTTAGCTGCCGCTCAACGTCTTTGCGGCAGTTACCCGGGTCGTTTCAAGTGCAAGAGCCAGATGGAGATGTGGTGGAAGATGAAGATGATGGGATCGCTTCAGGTGACCGTGTGAAAAGCTGTTCAGGCTCAGTGGGAGGAGATCTATCGTCGACTAGTGATAGTAGAGATGCTGGCGATGATTATCATGTTAAGACAATCCTTTTGACGATCGACGCGTGCTCGACGACCGAACGGACTTTTTTTACTATGATATCGAGCTACCTGAAAGCCTGACGATTCAAGCTGTAAATGCCGTTTAGGAGCCGGCATCTGTGAATGCAGCTCTGGGAGCACCTGACTTTGATAAATGGGTTGAAGCTCTGAATACGGAGTACAACGAGATGATACGAAACCATACCTGGGAGCTGGTCGTTAAGCCAGATGGTGTGAAAGTGTTGACGAGCAAATGGTGTTCGTAAAGAAGCGGAATGCTGAAGGAGAAGTGGAACGCTACAGCGCCCGAATAATGATTAACGGCTATCAAAAAACTATGGACTGAATTTTTGGGGGACGTATACACCTGTTGTATGGGCTGAGGCAGTGAGATTGGTGCTCCTACTGGCACTGCATTATGGACTACTTTATCGCAATGTTGATTTCGTGACGGCGTTTCTCAGTGTACCTATTGATTGTGAAATCTACATGTACCAGCCAGAGTTTAGACGACAGAACTAAGCGAGTGTGTAAGCTGCTTCGAAGCCTGTATGGCATAAAGCAGGCTCCGCACATATGATATAAAACTCTCGATACGTATTTGAGAGAGTTTGGATTTCGAAGATCGAAAATGGACGGTGGTATTTATTATCGTTGGATTAATGATATCTTCTTGACTCTTTACGTTGATGACATAAGGATTGTGGCAACTAAGGAAAACACCGAGATTGTTCTGAATGAATTGAGAAAGAAGTTTAAGGTCAAAAACCTCGGTGACGTCTGTCACTTGTTGTCAATGGTGATCAAGTATGTTCCTGGTATTATTCTGGGGGTCTCGCAGATTGGGTGTGTGGCTCAGCTGCTTGAGAGCTTTAAATGGCGAATTGCAAGGCGGTGCCGACGTCTCAGGTGAAGCGAAACTTCCCCTTCCGGGTGGTCCTGATAAAGACCCTGTATGTGTGAACGTCGATCCAGATGCGGACTATCAGTGTATTGTGGGTTCATTACAGTATTGGTCAGTTGCCCTCGATCAGATATTGCAAATGCTGTGGTGGGGCGGGGGTCGCAAAATCACGTTGCGATCCACTCAGACATACAGCGCCCTGGACTACCGACTAACGGAGTGGGTACTCCGATAACCGTGGGTTGGTGAGGGTTCACTTTGTGTACCCGTCGGCGGGGCTGG